AGAGTCATGTGAAAGTGAGACTGCAGTGGTGTAAGGACACAGTGCGCGTTCACAGGTTGCGCGTTGTGCTTGCCCTCGCCAGCGTGGAGCAGGTAGGACAGATGGAGAGCCTGCCGACGCTGAAGTATTCATTCTTACGCTTTGCTGGAAATGTCTGCCAGCTCCTGCTCAGGGCAGTGATCCAGGGACCTAGGGAGGTTTTCGTAATTCCTCCTTTCAGCACGTATAGAGTTCCTCTGCCTGCATACTTTAGATTGAAGTAATGAAGGAAACATGGAAAACCTGTGTTCATATTTTATTGGGGGGCAGATAATAAACATGGAGTATCTGTAATCTCAACATCTGAATCTGAAATTGTCTGAAGTCTGAACTTTTTGAGCCCCAGTGTGATGCCACAAACGGAAAATGTCATGCCATGAATTTTTTTTTTTTAAGGATGAATAAAATGGCCTCCAGGCCATGTGGATAATGCACATATGAAACAAATCCGCTCCACATGCAGACTTGTGTCCCATGCCCAGGATATCTGAAAACGTCAAGAGCGCGTCTGGTCCCAAGCCAATTAGGTGAGGGTGCCCAGCATGTGCAGGTGTACGGGCCTGGGGGCAGCAGGTGGAGCTTCCATTTCTGAGGTGCCCACAAGTGACTTTTGGACTGAGAGCTGTATGAACTGAGGGAGGGCACGAGTTGGAAGAACACTCAGGCGAGGGCCCACCTGGCAGGTTGGAGAATCTCGCAGATTCTGACTCAGGGCTGGAGTCCAGGCCGTGGAACCCCATGGAAGCTTGGACATTGTGGGCTGACCCCGACCTCAGTCATTGCCAGGTCCTGGAGAGCTTTTCACTGCTAAAGATCCACACGGTTAGGAGCCTTGTTCATGGAGCTTTGTGGCTTGCTTGGCCTAAAGGAGTAACTCAGTAAATTATGTTGATAATTGATTTTTAAAAGACCTGCATTTATGCCTGCTGACTGCCAGTGTTCCTGCTGTTTTAAGACACGCCATTTCTCCCCATGCTTGTTCAGTTCGGTTGTCTAGGTGCATAATGTGGATTAGGTGCCCAGTGCCCAGCTGGTGACTTGTACTGTGGGTTTTGTTTTCTTTTCTTTTCCTAGAATGAGTGTCATGCTCATGCTTCCTGTAGTTCCAGGTGGACCTCCCCTGTTTTCTGTTAACCGGCTCAGCTTAGGGGGAAAGCTTCTCCATCCGGCTTCCCAGGCTTTCCTCCCTCAGCATCCTGCTGCGTTTTGGTCACAACGCACACTGCCAAGTAGAAGGTGCAGCTGTTGTATGCTGAGTCTCACCTGTCCTGCCCTGTGCTGCAGGTTCTTCCGGTGTCTGGTGGCTGGGCAGTGAAGGAGTCTGGGAGGCATGGCAGGTGTGGCTGCCCATCCAGGTCTGTAGGCATGCCTTACAGCAACACAGACTGTGTACCTTGGGCTTGTGCTGGAAAAGGGGTGGAGCAGCTTCCTGAAGTTCTGCCTCTTCGTGGAATGCAGCGTGAAATACCTGGGCTTGCTAGATTGAAATAGCAAGCAGAATAGGTCCAGCATTGTCACAGTGCTGTTGACGTGTCTGCTGCAGACCTGCCTTCCCCAGCGGGCTGACAGGTTCTGTTCTGCCTGTCCTGTTCTCCCGAAAGTTGCAAGCTTGTGTGAATTCTCAGCTGCTGGTGTTTTAGTTTGCTTGTGACCTCTGGTTCATTGGAGGCTTTAGAAAGCTCTGGGCACGGGGTTTTGTGTGTGTGTTTCAGGGGATCCTTGCCCTGGACTTTTAGGAATTCTTACCAAGTCCACAAGACCACCCCACTTCAGATTCAGAGATTGTGCTCCAAAAGGAGCTGTCTCAAGTGCTAGCTGATGCAGAGCCTGCTTAGACTAACACAGACTCCAAAAGCACTGTTGTATTCTTCTTCATTGGAAAAGACACTCATTTTTTTCTTTACTATGAAGATTTATGAAGATTTCTTTGAAGAAATGAAAAGATAGAGACCTTCCAACCACTGGTTCACTCCCCAAATGACTGTGGTAGCCAGGGCTGAGGCTGGAATGTCCTGGAGGTTCCTCAGGTGCAGCAGGTGGAGTGGGGGGACTTGGGCATCATCCACACTGCCTTTCCAGGTGCACTAGCAGGATGCTGGACTGGAAACAGCAGCCAACACTGATTAGCACTGGGGCACTGTGTCATAAACAGTGGCTTAACTCACTTAACCAGCCCCCATTTCTAATCATACCCTTGGAAATAACTCAACTTTTGACTCTGTGTGAAAATTTAGACTTTCTTGAACTGGGTTTCCCTGTATACCACAGAGTATATACAAAGACATAACATAACGAGAATTGTGAAACCATTGGTCCTCAGTTTGTGCGCAACAGTATTGTTAAAATTTATATGAAAGACAGGAATAAATTCATCGTGTTTTGAAATGTGTTCAGGGAATTCAGTTTAAGCTTTTGTCAGTAATAGTAGATTTATGTCTCTCTTGTATTTATTCGTTTGATACTGACTCCAGGTGTTAGGTATAAGAGTTTAATTCAGTTCACTTTGTTTCAGATATTTGTGGAGATCATCCATTAATAATGCCTGGCTGCCCCTTTGAGGGACAAGGCCCCTGATAGAGAATTCTTCAGCAGAGCAAGTGAGAGGCTGCCTGTTGTTGCGGTTGGCACAGTAAAGTGCTCCTGGCCTTGGGTGGCTCTGGGTAGTGAGTGGGGGCTTCTCAGTGTTGGAGTCGGCTGGAGACCAAGAACCCAAGAACCGAGGGGGCATGCAGCGTGTGGCAGGGCACTTAGAATCTCTCCCCTCCTTTTGCAAAAGCACGTAAGTGCATAAATACAGGGGAGAAGAATCACTGAGGAACAGTAAACTCAGGACTTGGGCAGTTTCAGTCTCTTTCTTGTGATGTAATTTGGAGCGTGGAAGTCATGCCAGGTATTTATTGTGTCAGTTGGTTGTGTCATAGCAACATGTTCGTGTTTGGGGCTCTGAAAACTCTAAAGAATGGCCCTTGAGCATGCCGGGTCCTTTGAACAGGAGGAGGCTGGAAGGCCTCAGAGCAGAACCAGGTCTCCCTGGTTCCTGCTGTCTTCCATTCCAAGCTTCTTCCTAAGGGAGATCTTAGGAAGTAGCTTCCCTCGCCTCAAAGCCAGCCTTAAAACCTGAAACTGTCCAGCCTTCCTACCCTCCCCTTGACCATGAAGAAATTTGTCTGGGCTTGCTGGTTTCCTTGGGTGAAGATCCTCAGTGCCGACAGGCCCCTGGCTCACGGCCAGCAGGAAGGAATGTTGCACAGAGAGACCAGGAAGAACGTGAGCCCACAGGCCCTGCTGGGAGTGCTCCTGGTCCTGTTAGCCGTTACTGTTGACACATACACACTGTCACATTTCTGCAGTTGTCGCCATAAAGTAGAGACTTTACCCTATGTCTTTGGGTCTTCATTCTGGAGGCTACTGTGTGGCTGTGATCCAAAGACGTCATTCTGCCTTCCCCTTGTTAACCTGTAGTTGGTTACAGGACTGTCAGCCATGACCCTGAACAGTTGTAGCATAATTGATCCAGCTTGGGGATATTTAGGTTTGTTCTTGCTCATGGGTGTGAGCATAAATAAGGTCATGATGTTTCTGAAGACAGCTTTCTTGTATGAGTATATATAATTATTTCCTGAGAGTAATACTCTAAAATTACATCCAAAGATGTAGACATTCTTTCTTTTTTTTTTAATGAACCTCCTACGGCTGTATGTTAGTTTCTCACATTTCTCACTTCCTTGCCACTTGAGTTTATTATGGTTGCCTTCTCTGTCAGCAGCTTTCTCTTCTATTTAAAGATATAGAAGTGTCTTTATGGAATCACTAGCATTCTCCCACCACCACCTTTTTTTTTTTTTAAAGATTTTTAAATTTTTATCGGAAAATCAAATCTACACAGAGAAAGAGAGAAGAGAGACAAAGATCTTCCTTCTGCTGATTCACTCCCCAAGTGGCCACAACACCCGGAGCTGAACTTTTTCGAAGCCAGGAGCCAGGAGCTTCTTCTGGGTCTCCCACATGGGTGCAGGGTCCCAAGCCACCTGGAAATGTGTATGAAATATCAGGTCTACACATTTTATGTTAAAGGTTTCTTTAGCTTACGGTGATTGCTCATGGTCTAGAGTTGCATTTTCAAACCATTGTCTTAGTCTGGTTTGTGTTGATGTGATAAAACATCAGAGAATGAACAAGTTACAAAGGAAAGAGGTGTATCAAAGCCATGCTTCTTGAAGGTCAAGTGCATGTCAGAGGCATCTGCTAGGTCAGGGCAGAAAGGAATGCACCATGGTGGGACGGGAAGCTTGCCAGAGGAAACTCGATCTTCACAACAAAGATACCCTTCTTGTGACCCATTAATCCACTAGACCCAGTTCTGTCTGCCCACCTGGTCCCAATTCATCATGCGTCACTGATGTGGAGACCTCACTTCAGCAGACATTCAAACTGCAACAGTGACCTGCAGTAACACTGTATTAGGGGTTAGACCCTGTGTGGAGGACTGTGTCCATTGGCTTGTGTCCACTAGCCTGCCTACCAGGGAAAGCCTGGCAGAGCAGACTGTAGAAGGGAAATTGGTGAGTGCCTAGAACTGATGATGCTAAGACACAGCTTCATCAACATTTAAAGGTGGGCGGGGGAGGGGGGAGTGGGGGCTGACTTGAACCCTTCACTTCCCTTTAGGAATGCAGGCTTTCAGTTTTTGCAGGATCCTCTCCCAGGCAAACGTTGGGCCATTCTGTTCATCAGAAGCTCATCACCCTTCAACTGCAAAGGCCAAACAGGAGTTCTATTTTCATTTTAGGTGGATTTTGGAAAATCAAGTGGCGACTTTGTAGTCTTCATGGACTAGAATGTCATTTTCTCAGTCAGCTTTAAAATATTGATATTGATAAATATTAAAAATCATGTTTATATAAAAATAAAACCCTGAGTGTTGTGGATTTAAATATTATCTTTGTCTTCTTTTTTCACAGCTGTTTGGGGAAACTTCGTTAATATGAGGTAACTGTTTTTAATTGTTTTATGGTTGGGTTTTATAGACACATTTTAGTTGCTGCTGATAGGCCATAGATGTCGTGGGTTAATCGGAGAATATTTTTGAAATGAAATTGAATTTTGTGTAGTTCATACATAAAACCCTTTCTTATGTGCATATTCACAGGGATCACCTGATATTAACATTTACCCAAGCAGCACCCAGATGCAGTAGCTTTTCCTTCAGATTGCCCACTCCCTGCCCTACCCTGGAGCCCACACCCTGGCTTTCACACCACTGAAGGCCAGTGACCACATGTAGGTAGCTTGGCAAGCAGCACAGCCGGTGCTTCTGCAGAGCCTTTCCAGAGGGACCGGCTGACGTGGCTCCAGGGAGCTAACTCAAGTTTGGGACCAGAAGTGATCTGGATTTGGGATTTTTTTTTTTTTTTTTAATGTTTGCTTGTACATCATGCTATATCTTGGGTGGGGACCCAAGTCAAAACAATCGTCATTGATGTTTCCCAAATACCTTAGACACATAGCTGGAAGGTGGTCTTATGCAGTATTTATATGTATGTTTTGACTGTGGCAGGTCACATAAGATAAAATATTGACTTTTCCAGTTGGGGCACCACATCAGTACTCAGGAAGTTTTGGATTTTGGAGCATTTTAGCTTTAGGGTTTTCAGATGAGGGGTGCTCAGGCTGTTTGGAGTGTGGGGCCTGAGGCCACCTGTGTATGCCAGAGCAACCTTAGGGAGCTTTGTACTCCAAGCCTGAGTAACTTGTGCTTCCTAATAGGTCAGGAGGGACGCGTGTAAAAGCAAAAGCTGTGTCTGCATAGAAGGATTAGGAATTAGTCAAATTAAATAAGTAATAAACTTTTTGGATTTTTTTTTAATCTACAAAACATAACAAGCATTGATCTTAAAACATTTGACATTGTTAGCCCAGTTTTTCATGTAAAGAAAAATTCACTCTGCTATGTTTCATGACATTGAGAAATGTCAGAATAGCACTCCGAACTGTGAGGATGAAGTTGGCATCAGCCTTAAATGCTGTGTGAATGGTGCCCGTGCCCCAGGAAGCTTGTCCTGTGAAGTTGGCCTTGCAAGGTGGGTGGGGTGGTGTTGGTCTGCATCTCGCCACCAGGGCTGCTGTGTCTCCTGACAAGGCCGGCTGTGTGTGGCTGGGTGGGGTGCTCAGATCCCGTCTGAAGGAGCTCTGTGTTTTTACTTGGAAATACTCCATTTTGCATTAAATTGTGGAAAAGGCTCAGCAGGCAAACACGTGCTCTTATAGAAATACTTCTTGCTTCTCTTTAAATGTCCCATCATGAGGCAAGATGGAAAGGAGATTGTTGTAGTTTCGTATCAACATTCCATTAGGTAATGCACAGGGCACTCCGTATTCCTGGATTTAATCAGCTGCATATTAAAAATGGATTTGGGCCTCTGGTGGCTAAATCGGAGCAGAATATGTACAGATGCCAGAGTCCTGCTCCAGTTGAGTTCGGAACTCTCGAAGGGTACATGGATGAGGCGTAAAGAGGAAAGAAAGAGACAGACCACTAGGACCTCATGATCATAATGGACGATGCACAAAAGCTGTCCGCTTTATTTATACAAAATCAGTCAAACTCTGGCTCAGACTTTTTACGTCACAGTCAAGTGGGTGTTTCTAAAGATAACTCTGCCATAGTATTACTTAGAAGTTCCTGCTGCCAGTACCTAGAAGTTCCTGCTACAATTCTTATCCTACAATTCAATCTTGTATCACAAAGAAAAGGGGAACCTAAAGAATGAGGAAAGAATGAAAGCCTAAATCTAGATCCCTTGATTAGCATAGGCTCAATGGGGACAGCCAAGACAGTAGGAATAATAAAGGGCCCTTTTGCAAGACATTGACCTCCAAGCTCAGACTGAGCAAAAGGCCAGCCTTGCAGTAGCAAATGCCAGGATGGATTAGAATTCTTCCGCAGGGTGGTCCGGTGTCCATGCAAAAGAAGGTGGAGATGAATTCAGGTGGTTGTAGAGACATCCACTGGGCGGGCCCTGCTGAACAGCGGGGGAAATTCCTTGCGGCCCTGCCTGCAATGGAACAACACTCTTCACCTCTTCATGTCCCCATGTCCACTGCACGGACCCCAACATCCAGACTTGTTTTCCAGGTTATTCTTTCTTCGATGTTATGGTGTACCAACAATTTACAAAGCAATTACATTGTGTCAGACATCAGAGATCATTTAGAGATGACTTAAAGCAAATGGGAGGAGAATGTTCCTAGGTTATGTGCAGATATATCCCTTCTTATGTAAGGAACAAACATCAGCAGATTTTAGTGTGGGAGGGGAGTTCTAGATCCAGTCCCTTTGGACAGCGGTGTGCTCATGGATGGGTATGCAAGGTCTGCTCCCTCTGCCACACCCTTCAAGGGGCAGTGAGCACCCAGGACAGACACTTGAACGGGACAAGGAGATGGGCTCAAGTGCTAGTGTCATGATTTATCGGAAGCATATCTTGAAGTCACAGAGCCTTTCCATTGATCTCAGTTTTGTAGCTTTCTACTCAACAGGTCTATCCAGGAAACCAGCGAACTCAAAATTGAAAGCAAGATTGAAGAGGTTAGTCTCTTTCCACGTTGTCTTCTGTTGCATTGCTGCATTTCGCCATCCCCTTGTCCCTGCTGGTGCTGGTGTCTGTTTGGATAACTTAGTGCTGTTGTGGGATTCAAAACCATTGCTCAGAAGATTATTCCGTTAATCAAGAGGAGGCTTCCTGCTTACTCTCCTGGAGAAGCAGTCTCTTGGTGACCACTGCCTGATTTTAAGGGTGTGATGTGTTAGTTATTTAAAAGAATGGAAGAGTTCTAGTTTTAGGTCATACGATATTAAGATACTTTACGCGCAGCTAATTCTCGCAACCTGGTTCTTTACCGTGAGCTGAAAACACCAGACGCAACAACATATCTTAGGAAGTTTATTCCAGCGGGGCAGGAAAAGGGGAAGGAGAAGGGGAAAGGGGGAGGAGGAGAGTAAGGAAGGAGAGAGAGAGAGAGAGAGAGAGAGAGAGAGAGAGAACCGAGTGGGGCAGGAACAGGGAAGGGGAGGAAAGGGAGGTAAGAAGGAGGAGAGAGAGAGGAAGAGCAGGGGAGAGGAACCAAGGAGAGCAAGAGCAAGAGAGAGAACCGCACCTGGGGGCCTTTTTTGTCTGCAAGGTGTGGGGGGCGGGGATTTGGAGGGATTGAGGTCAAGGCCCCAGGGGATTGGTGCCTGCAGGTGAATGCCTGGGGATGATTGGTGAGTGGGCGTGGTTGGGGAAGGGGCTGGGAGATTGGGGGTGGGATTCTCAGGTGGAATGCCAGGTTACGTCCGATTGGTGGATGGCTGGACTGGCGCGAATCCTGTGAGCTATGAGGAAGAAGAAATGGCGCAGGGTCCAGGGTGGGATATTGGAATAAGTCCTTACATGATGTATTAACTATCACCTTAGGGACAGAAATAATTGACTCACACTTGAACTGATTGCCTAGAAGAGATGGGGAGTACCAATGTGCATTCCCCTGAGTAGGTCATGACCCTAAAACAGGTGGGAGGCCATGGATAAATAGCCCCACTGTCTTGGCTGCAGAAAGAGACTGGAGTCATTCATGTTGGCTCTGGCGTCCTAGAGAAGCCTTGGGTCACTATTTCTGCCCAAGCTCACATTATGAATGTGAATGTGGGTTGACTCGGCCATGCCCTGCAGTTTACATGCTGAGCACTTGGATCTCACTACAGGAACAGGAGGTGGAGTTTCCTAGGCTGCTCTTGGGGGATTCTTTTCTTCCTGGAAAGAGAGAGGTCGTATTGACCTGCCCGGTTTAATGAACCTGCAGTCCCTTTTTTTTTCTTCCTGATCAAAAGGTAACTGGAGTGAGATCTAGCATGTCATTTACCTGTGTAATTCTAGCATGGTGATTCAAGTAACTTGCCTTAATTTCAGATTGGAAGTCAATTGGTAGAAATTAAAATCGATTTTGCATCTTATCATGCTTATCCGAAATGTCAAAATGGGGTAAAAGTGATAAAAAATTGCTTTTGTTTTAAAATTGATTATTATCATTATTATTCCAGATTGTTGAACCACTAAGAGAGAAAATCAGAGATTTGGAGAAAAGGTATGTATTCTCTTCGTCTTGAGTAGAGGAAAATGCTGATACTGGGCTTTGTAATAGGGAAAAGTCAGTATCTAATTTCATATCAGCTGAATAATTAATTCCCTGTCATGAAAAATGGAAGGCATCCTTCAAAGAACCCTTCCATGAAAAGGTCAGTATGGACTTTTCACTTTGAATGTAGAGTTTTAAAATCTTTTTTTTTTCTCTCTCTATTGAAAGACTCTTTCTGATGAGTCGTGACTTCTCTCCAGAATAGAGGATGTTTATTTACTTAATCAGTTTATATTTCCAGAAAATCTTCCTAAAACCTAACTGTTAAATTCTAAGTTTAAAGCCCTCTGGAGTGAACATTTAGCATAGCAGCAAGACTCCAAGTATGGAGTACACTGGCTGTGTCTGAGTAGCTAGGTTTCTGTGCTTTTTTGTTTTTTTAATTATTTTTTTCGGCCGAGTGATGGCGAGAAAGGGAGAGACACGCACACACAGACACAAAGCAAGAGATATCTGCCTTGCAAGGATACCTTTTCCAGATGCTCACAACCTCCCGGGTGGGGCAGGCCGAAACCTTCAGCCCAGAACTGCATCCTCGTTTCGCACGTAGGCAGCAGGGACTCCGGCACTGGAGCCACCTTCGCTTACCTCCCAGGCATGTGACCTTTGAGCTCAGCTGGAAGCAGAGTAGCTGGGAAGTAGCCAGGCGTTCCTGGATGTAATGGCAGGCCTTCCCTGAGGCAGCCTGTCCCACTGTGTGACAGCACCTACCCAGAGAAGCTGAGTCAGATGCTTAGCTCTGGTTCCTGACCCCAGCTGCCTGGTCATGCAGACCCTGGGTCCTTACCATCCACAGAGAAGATCTGGGTGGAGCTGGCCATCTGGGGAATGAAGCAGTGGATAGACGCTCTCTTTCTATCTGCCTGGCTATCTCTACCACACAGATTGCTAAAGTTCTTCTTGTGATGTTAGTTTGATCGTCTAAACAGATGTCCACATTAAACATTTTGATCTTTTCCTCCATTTGCGTATAAGCCCCACTAGAACTCTGAGAGAAGAATGAATCTGGGTCTGTGAGGGCTTCCCTATGTGTAAACTGTTGAGAATAACTTGAGCAGGACACCAGCTGGCTTGTGCGTGTAGTGATAAGTCCAGCAGGATTCAGAGCAGACTCGTCTGGAGGGTGGAGATGGAGACACTGTCGGAAGCTGTAGGTGTGGGGTCCAGGACATCGTGCTTTCTCTGTCGGTTTTTGCTTTTATACCCAATGTGTATCAGGAGTTCTGCTAGCTTTTTGTTACATTAACTAAAATACCTTCAGGAATGCAAAGAACATTCTTAAAAAGGGAAAGACTTAGGCTTACAGCTTGGAGGTCGGAGTTCAGGCTCAGGAGACCCCCCTCATTGTCCTCTGGTGGAGCAGGTGCAAAGTTATGAGTGTATGGCGAGCCAGGAAGTGGAGAAGCCAGGCTGAACCAGGACTCTGCTGAGGTTCTCCACCCTAATCCATCAGCCCCATTAACTTACCGTATGACTGAGATCTTGATGTCCTGCGTGAATTTGGGAAGCCAAGTCCAGGTACAGTGGCTAAGAAGCCAGAATTGTGTAACATGACAGAAACACTTAGTTGAATTCAATTCCAAAGTAAATTCCTCCTCCTCTTTGACTTGGAGAGATTGCAGAGCATGCAAGCTTTGGGTCATTCTCTGTGTCACTCACACTTATAAAATGTTTGCACTTTTGGTGTATTAGCCTAGTGGTTAAATCCTCACCTTGCACAGCACCAGAAGCTCATGGGTGCTGGTTCATGTACCAGCTGCTCCACTTCCCATCTAGCTCTCTGCTTGTAACCTGGGAGGATGGTCCAAAGCCTTGGGACTGTGCACCCATGTGAGAGACCCAGAAGAAGTTCCTGGCTCCTGGCTTTGAATCAACTTAGCTCCAGCCCTTGTGGCCACTTAGGAAGTGAACCAGCAGTTGAAAGATCTATCTTTGTCTCTCCTTCTCTCTGTGACTCTTTTTTTTTTTGAAGATTTATTCATTTTTATTGCAAAGTTAGATATATGGAGAGAATATTGAGAGAAGGAGATACAGAGAGAAAGGCCTTCCGTCTGATGATTCAATCCCCAAGTGACCACAATGGCCAGAGCTGTGCCAATCCAGAGCCAGGAGCCAGGAGCTCTTCCGGGTCTCCCATGCGGGTGCCAGGGTCCCAAGGCTTTGGGCCATCCTAGACTGCTTTCCCAGGCTACAAGCAGGGAGCTGGATGGGAAGCAGGGCCGCCAGTTCAAAACTGGCACCCATATGGGATCCTGATGCGTTGAGGGCGAGGACTTTAGCCACTAGGCTGTGGTGCCAGGTCTTCTCTGTGACTCTTAAAAAAATAATAATATGTCTGCGTTTCTGGCACCAGAGCTTTTCCTTTGAGTGTCTATGTAGAAAACTTTGTATGTCTGAAGTAACAACTGAATCTTAAGAAAATTTGAAAAAGAAAATTGGAGATGGTTTTTTTAGAATTTATATAATCTCTTCCTGTGATGAGTTTGGTTGGTGCGAGTCAGTATTTATGGGAGTCCAGAAGGAAAAGGAAGAACGAAGAGCAGATTCCCCTTGACTTTTTTCATTAAGGGATCAGAGGGGATGAGAGTGGAGAGGAATGCTCCTTCCTTTTGTTCTTATCTTCAGCGGAGCCATCAGGGCAGCCTTCATTTCCACTCGTACTGGAGTGCGAGCTGGTGGGTATTTTTAGTAGATTGCCTTAGTAACATGAGGCTGCAGTTGCTTTGCATTTTTCTTGCCATGATTTTGTAGAGAAATTAAATTCCTGATAACGTTGTGTTGAATAGGCGCCAGAAATCCTGCCTTTGATAAGGTTATATAGAGATTTTAAAGGAAGCTTAAAAATATTTTAGGTATGTCAAGAAAACCCAATGCAAGCAAAGAAAAAAAATTTATATACAGTCATTTTCTTAGGTAATAATATCCATGTTTTTAATTTTTATTATTTGAGAGGCTGTGTGATGCCATAAAGAGCAAGTTATGGTCTGCTCGTTCACTGCCCACTGCACCTAGTGGCTGGAAGCCGGAGGCAGGCCCTGGGGTGCAATCCCCATCTCTAGCCAGAGTGGTTGTCACTGCGTCCAGGGTGCAGCAGGGAGCAGCCGGAGGCAGGCCCTGGAGCCGGAAATGGAACTCGGGCACTGCAAGTGGGACTGGCATCTTTACTGATAGGCTGGCTCCTGTTCTATAGTCCACCCCTGTTTAAACGTTTTTTGAAAAGAGAAATGTGTCCATTGCATGACTTCCCTGGAGCTTACAAACAAGATCCCTTAAAACAGGAATAAGAATTTAGCCTTAAGAATTTCCTAGGGTCTGCTGGTTGGTGGCGTGGAGGAGCAGGTAGAGGAGCCTGCAGCACTGTTGCAGTCAGCTGCTGTGGCCTGTGGAGGCTCTGGAGGGGAGTGGACCCAGCCCTGGAGGATGCTCACTCAGCTCCCTGTGCAAAGTGCAGTGTTTGCCTCTAACTCAAACACCCTCTCCCACAGGGATAAGATCCTTTCTAGGCTACTCATACATTGTAAGTGCTGTGTAAGTAGAGGGTACATTCTATTGTGCAGGCACTAATGACAAGCAGAAAAGATTACACGTGTTCAATCTAGATGTAACTTTGCTTGTATTCCCTTGATATGTTCTGTTCACAATTGCTTGAATCCGTCTTTGCAGAACCTGTGATGTGGAGAACCAATTAAATGTCTTTTAATTTCACCTCCATGGCTTTATTCTATGAATGGATGGCAAATAAGGATAATAGTGTGTATTCCAAATAAGCCGACTTTTTACTAATATTTCGACTAAACAGCAAGGTTAGGCCTAGCATCACATGTATAAGGAGTGCAGGGTTGATTTGGAGAGGAGGTAGGCAGAGGTCCACTCTGCCATGTTCTTCTCAGTTCTCTGCTTGCCTGTCTCCTGCTTGGAAAGCAGGCTTCCTGGAGTAGGACTTCCTTCCATGTGGTCCACTGTTGCCCGTGGTTAGCACGGCAGGGCAGGTGCTCAGCTTGAAGCGCCTAAGTGAATCGGCCCCATACAGAGTCATGTTTTCAGCCCCTTTCACCTTTCTAAGAAGCCCTGTGCCTCTCCGTGGCCTGCTTTCCACCTGCCACTGCCGGAGTCCAGCCCCAGCTGAGTTCGGAGCTCGCGAAGGGTGCGTGGATGAGGCGCAAAGAAAGAAAGAAAGAGACGGACCACTAGGGACTCTTGTTCATCATAATGGACTACACACAAAAGCTGTCCGCTTTATTTATACAGAATCAGTCAAACTCTGGCTCAGACTTTTATGTCATGGTCAAGTGGGTGTTTCCAAAGATAACTCTGCCATTTGTTTCACCTAAGGCTAGGATGTTAACCACCTGGTGCCTGGCACCTGGCGCCTGGCTAGGAAAAAGTTCTCAATAGATGGTGCATATCAATCACTAACACATTCCTACCACAATTACTTTACAGCTTGGTCTTGAGACAGTCAAGGAAGGAAGGGACCTAAAAGATCAAAGAAAGAGGGAAAGAATAGATTCCCACTACACCTGAAAACAGAATACCCTTGATTAGCATAGGATCAAAAGGGGAGTTAGCACCCTTGATTAGCATATTGCCACAGGATGCAGCCTTAACAGCAATAACAACTTTTTGGCTAAAAAACGGCAACAGCAACATCAGCTTCTAAGCTCCCATTGATGTTAAACTCCGCAGAGGCAGACAATGCCTAAATAGATTATAGAAATCTCAATGGGGTTGTCCGGTGTCCATGCAAAGGGAGGCAGAGCTGCATTCAGGTGTTGTAGACATCCACCGGGCCTTGCCACACAGCGGGACATTCCTTGCGGCCTTGCCTGCAAAGGAACGATACTCTTCACACCTTCCTGTCTTCCATATCCATCACACAGACCCCAGCATGCCACACTGGGTAAACCGAACAGGTGCTGGGGGACACCGAGTGGCCGCCTGCAGGTGTTGGCCACTCTGCGGAAATGCCATAATGAGTTAGTTATGCATATGAATCTAAAAGTTTTCGCTACATTTTAAAGAAAACAAAGCAAGAAGCCAGCGGGTTTTGCTTTTTAAATGAAAGGTTTTAGCCATGGTAGATACCCTCCATTTAGTCCTTCTTGCACAAGTCACCGTGTGTGTCAGCACCCATGCTTTTTCTTTGGTCACATTGAGTACAGGACAGCCACCTGTCGTTTTCTTCCTGGAATAAATAGCACACTAAGTTCCACGTTAAGCTTTCTGACAGGCTCTGTGACTCCCCTGTCTGCAGGTTCCAACAACTTCAAAATCATTTGGTGGGGAAAAATGCCTTTATATGGGACCTGTGCAGACACTGTTGTCTTGTAATCATTTCCTCAGCATCACCATGCAGCAACTAGTTACCTGGTATTTGCATTGTGTTAGGTAGTGTAAGTCACCTGAGACCAATCTGACGACTGCAAGAGAATGTGTTGGTCATAGGCAAGCAGTATGCCATTGCATAGAAGGGATTTGAAATCTGGATGTCGGTGGCTACATGGAACTTTAGAACCAGTGACCTGCAGGGAAACTTTTATTTTAAGCTAGCAACTTGGGATAAAACTTGGTTTCTTGACTAAACTGGTCTGCTGGCTCCAGGAGTGCTCCTCACAGGGCGGGTTCTACCCATCCACTTCTATGTTCCTGCACATAGCTGCAGTGCCATTCCCCGCCACAGGGGGCAGAGAATGGGCTTCCACAGTGAGTTGAGGGGATGGCTTCAGCCTGGGCTGGCATCATGGTGCTCTGAGGGCAGATGGGAGCTAGGCGAGTTTCTGTTGTGCTGTGTGACTGAGTTTGGGGTGGGATGGCACTGAGGCTAAAGGCATGAATGTTGCAAGTTCAGAGGGTGAGGGGAACTTGCAGACAGCTCTGTTTTATGTTGCCAGCCCCTTGCTGAATGATGGCGGAAGCTTGTAGAATGACTCAAAAGTTATTTGACAGTTTGGCTTCTCTCTCCCCCAAGTCCTATGGAATTGCCTCCAATTGAAAGCAGCGCTTGCCCCTGTCACCCAGTGACAGACACTCACTGTGGGCAGCACACACTGGAGACAGGCTATATCCAGGGCAGCCTGTGGGCTCACTGTGGGCAGCACGCACTGGAGACAGACTGTAGCCAGGGCAGCCCGTGGGCTCACTGTGGGCAGTATGTGCTGGAGACAGGCTGTATCCAAGGCAGCCCGTGGAAGGAAAGCTGTGGTTAACCCCTGCTCACAGGGGGTCACAGAGCTAACAAGGGGAAGGCCTGGGTACCTAGGCACACGTTCCCATCTGCCTGTCTCTGGTTTCCTTGTCTATAAGGGCAACTTGATTTTTTAGAGAATCTACAAGCTCTTAATGGCACTGTATGTCTACATTATAATAGCAAGGCCTCTTGTACTGGTTTAAACACCCCTGCACGCTGCCTCGCATGCGAAGGACACCTGTCAAGGTCTTCTGTCTGATGACGTATCACACTGTGTTTCATCCAGCAAAATTAAAGGAAATATACTTTGTGCTAGCTGTGGGCCCGTGGTGGGGACAGGGACTCTGGATGAAGCCTGTGCCGCCTGGCCTGACACCTCTGAAATTAAAATAGGAGCTATGAAGCTGGTCATCTGGATTTTTCTTGAATCGCCTCTGTTACTAACAGTCATTTCAAGAATGCAGTTTGGATTCATTGGCTCTGTTTGAGCTGAGGACCCCATGGTCCCTTTAGGGGAGCAAGGATCAGAGCGTACATAGACAGACAGCAGTTGCTGCTGCCAGGGTCGCTGGTCAGAAAGAGCTTGGATTTGTGACTGCCCAGAATAGGAGGCAGCTTTCTGGGCGTCTCCAGAACCATGGGAGGCCCTGTCTCCCGCATTGGACCACAGCCTCATGCTGCTGCCATCTGCCATGCTTCTCGTGGTATCTTCAGAATGCCACTTCCTCCCTCATTCTTTGTTTTTAACTAGATTTAGAGAGGGGACCCTCTAAAAGCTTTAAGAGGAGGCTGCTTAAATTTTCACCTCTCAGAACATTCTGTCAGCTTAATTCTGAGCAAGGAACAGGTCAGATATTTCTTGAATTTCAGCTAGGCAGCCTTCTGGTCCTCCACTTTCATTTTCAGTAAGGAGAACAGTAGCAGTTCTGCAGCCCAGCCTGGTCTTGAGGGTGGATGGGGAGAATACTGTGAAATGATTGACTCTCGCTTTCAATCTCTCCACATGACACAGCTTCACCCAGAAATACCCGCCAGTGAAGTTTTTATCAGAAAAGGATCGCAAAAGAATTTTGGTAAGTTTGTACATCATTGGTATTAGTAATCTAAAGAAAGTTTTTGTTTGTTTGTTTGTTTTTCAATTGAGAGTCAACTGACATAGCACAGAATTCACGTATAAGCTTCTGAGTTCATACACCGCTTGAGCATCCAGTTACGGAGTTAAGGATATGTGTGTGAAGTTTTTGCAGTAGCACCACATTTTGAGTTTTTGGTGTGTTGATTTCTCAGTACCTTTTTTTTTTAAGTATTTATTTTTTTGGAAAGTCAGATTTACAGAGAGGAAGATCTTCCGTCTGATGATTTACTCCTCAAGTGGCCACAATGGCCGGGGCTGAGCTCATCCAAAGCCAGGAGCCAGGAGCTTCTTCTGGGTCTCCCACATGTGTGCAGCATCCCAAGGCCATTCTCAACGGCTTTCTCGGGTCACAAGCAGGGAGCTGGAAGGGAAGCGGGGCTGCCGGGATTAGAACTAGTGCCCATATGGGATCCTGGTGCGCAGAAGGCAAGGACTTTAGCCTCTAGGCTACTGTACTGGTCCCTTCTAAGTGCTTCTGTTTGTTATAGTCCTGAAAAGAGACCTGCCCCCACTAGTGGGCACTTTCCCTTCCTAGCTGAGTCGCTTTGGGCAGCCTCTGAAATGACCTTCTGCCAACACGCATTTGCCTTTTGTGGTCATTTCGAATGAGTGAGGTGTGCCACACCATAGGATGAATCAGTACTCCTTTCCTTTTCGTAGCTGGACAGTAGTTCACTGTATGGACAGACAGAGCGTTTTATTCTTCTGCCTGTCAGTTGATGGACATTTGTGGTCCTTAATCCTCTGACAGCATTTTGAGTAATACCGCTGTGGACCTAGCAGGTGTAAGCCTCTCTGTGGACAGTCTTTCAGTCCTGGCTGTTGGAACGGAGTGAACTATTAGATAGTATGGAAACTTTGGAAAAAGTATGACGCCTTCTTTTTGCACTATGCTGGTTTTAACCTTTCTGGTTCCTGTATCACTTCGATGACTACCCTGACGCTTGCTTGACTAATCATGCCCTTGTTGGAGGTCAGTGCAGATTTACCAGTGAAAGAGTTTTATTTGCCTGTTGTGCAGCACAGTGTGAACAAAGAGATTAAACTTTTTTCTTTTTTAAGTAACAGCCTTTTGGAGGTAACAGCCCAACACCGTGTGGCTCACCCTTGAAAGTCTAGAAGCCAGTGGTACTTTGTCTATTTATGGAGTTGTGCAATGATCACCACATCCAATTCCAAAGCCTCAAAAACCCTGTGACCATCATTACCTATTTTCCAGTATCCTCCACACTGCACGCCGGAGATAACCACACTTCTACTCTCTGTTCACAAAGGTTTGCCATTTGTTTCATAAAGCTGGAATCATGTGGTATTTCTCCGTTTGTGACAGGCTCCTTCCCTTAGTAGAATGTTTTCAAGGTCATTCATGTTGCACTTCGCATCAGTCTTTATGTATTTCATTGTCAAATGGTACATTGTGTGACTACCGCATTTGATTAGTACATTTATTATCTCCTATGAAAGCTGTTTAGCCTTCTGAGTAACTAACAGAAGTTTGCCAGGGTAGGAGCGTCGAACATTTCCAGCAACCGTGCTTGGGGCTTCTGTTAGATTCACCGCTTGCCAAAATGAGATTCGCCAACCACCAGGGAAAGAATAACTCGGCCACACATATGAAAAGAATTTAGATGGCCTTTATTTCAGGGACCCACAGTCACGGGCTTCCCTTTCCCATGCAGCACAAAGACAGACATGAAGGAGTGGGCTGCAGAGTAAGAAGAGCACGAAAGAGATGGAGAAGGGGCGTTTTAAACTCTCCTTGACACGGAAGCCGAGATGGGGGCGGGAGTCACCTCGGCCCTTATTGGTGGAGGGATATGAGTCTGTGTCCCTCATTGGTGCAACGGTGGTCTCACCACCTGAAGGGCCTGCCAGAATTCCACCATCTGTTCCGGCTTTGGTTGGAGGCAAACTCTGCCCTTCTCCGGCCCCCGTGGCAGCCATCAGCTTCCGGTTCCTGAACACACCGAACACCATTTGTTACTACGCCTTTCCGGTCCTAGCCCCAAGTCCTTGAGGGCTAATGATATTGAGCGTCTTTTTAAGAGCTTACTGGTCATTTCCATATCTTTGGTAATTGGATTATTTTCCCTTTATATTATGCATTTATAAAAATCCTTTATATGGTACAAATAGGAGGTTCTTATCAAATATATGATTTGCAGTATTTTCTTCTTTCTTAAACTGAGAGTTAGATAAAAGCAGCTTGTTCTTTCCCCAAACGCCTGCTTTGGTGGGCTGGCTAAGGTCGACGCTGGGAGCTGGGAGCTCCGTGCAGGGTTCTACATGCTGCCCAGTCCCCGGGCCGTCTCGTCTTTCTGCTGTGGTCCGCATGAGCAGGAAGGTGCGACCTGTTACTGCAAGTGGGCTGGGAGTGTCTTAGCTGCTAGGCCGGATCCCTGTGACCCCATTGCTTCTCCCTTTCTCCACGGTATTCTTTGAAGCACATTGATGAAGTCTGTTTTTTCTTTCCCCCTGACTTTTAAAAAAAATTTTTGTTGCCATGTTTAAGAAACAGTTTCCTGGGCCCAGCACGGTGGCCTAGCAGCTAGCATCCTCGCCTTGAAAGCATCGGGATCCCATATGGATGCCGGTTCCAATACCAGCGGCCCCGCTTCCTATCCAGCTCCCTACTTGTGCCTTGGGAAAGCAGTCAAGCATGGCCCAAAGCCTTGGTTCCCTGCACTAGAGTGGGAGACCTGGAGGAGGTTCCTGGCTCCCGGCCTCGGATCGGCACAGCATCGACCGTTGTTGTCACTTGGGGAGTGAATCGTTGGACAGAAGATCTTCCTCTCTGTCTCTCCTCCTCTCTGTACTAATGACTTTGTAATAAAAGTAAACAAATCTTTACAAAAAAAAAAAGAAAGTTCCCCAATTTAAGTTGGCTAGAGCTTACTGTTTTAATTTAGGTCTGTGATCCATTTTGAGTAGCTTTTTAATATAGTATTATGTCAGGGTGCATCGTCCATCCTGCTGTTGTCTGTGTCGGCGAGCCGTCCAGCATAGCTTATTGAAATGACTGCTTATTGCCTGTTGAGTTGTCCTGTGGCGCTCATCCTGAGGGTCTCTGGACCGTTGATATATTTCTTTCTAGACTCTCGATTCCATTGCCCTTTGCCAGATCCCCATGATCTTTTTTTAAAAATCTGTTATTTTTTCTTTTGAAATAAAACTTGGAGTGAAACGTGTAAATTCAGTGAGAGCTGGCAAATGTGTATTCTTCATACTCCTTCTGATCAATCCCTAGCACCATCGTGGGGCGACTCTGCTGGCTTAGCGCTCCACACACGTGGCCTGGTGACTGTGGAAGCACTCCGCGTGTTGCGTGACTTACCCAGCGTGGGATGGAGCGTGTGGATGTCAGCGCATCATGCCTTTGTATTGCTGAGCATCATTCAGTCACATAGACGGAGGGCTCCTGCTGCTAACGGACACCTGAGCTGTTTCCAGTTCTGCCTGTTACTCTGTCAGGTTCTCCTTTGTAAATACAGAGGGTCAGGTCTGCTGGCTCATAGAGTAGCTTTATGGCTTTTTTTTCTTTAATGTAAGAAATTACCAAGATGACTAGATTATACATAATCCATTTTCAAGAGTAAATCAAAATATAGCGTTTTATTTCTCAGAAGCAACCATTACCTTTACAGCATCGAAATGTTGGCTAAGTTGAACCTTCTTTTGTTTATATTCTGTTTCTGGCTTTCTCATTCCTATATGCGTATGTGGATTCTCATTTTTCTTTTCACGCTGGTCTTTCAGTACTTTCCCATTTAACTGTGGCTCTTGCGCTGAATTTTCATCTTTGAAACCACAGCTCGTACCATTCTATATTGTTTTTGTTCTTTCCCAGTTCTCTGTCCAGTTTGCTTTCCGGCTTGGTCAGTGGGGTCCATACCTTTCCATTCTTGGAGGATGGTGCAGATCTTTGTCCCATTTTGGTGATTTGAGCGGCTGCCTCTTTTATTAAACCCGCCCACACCCACACCTCTGGGTTCTCGGGATTATAAACAGCAGCGAAGGGACGATTCCCGGCCTTTTACTTCAACTTTCCCATCCGTCTCTCAGTCACCTACCCAGTCCCTGCCATTTTGAAACTTCACCCACATAGTCTTTTTATTTTATGATTTACTTTATTTTAACTTGAAAGGCAGAGTTACAGAAAGAGAAAGAGAGATTTTTTTTCATCTGTTAGTTCACTCCCTAATTGGCCACTTAACTATTGCAAAACAACACTTTGGAATTCTTGCTTATTTTTTTACTATGTACATTTTCATGAGCTTTTTGAAGACTCTCCATGTATATAGATTTCAGAAATTATTTGTCACCGAAATAAACTTATTTTTTCAACTCTCCGAACTTGTTGAAATGGCCTCAAGTTGTGTTTTACGATTACCCCATTACCACTAGCACTGCAGTGTCCCTATGGATTCTAGCTCATGTCCGAGAACACTTGCTTTTTGTATAAACAACATCTCCTTACAAGTTTTCTCATGGTTCTGCTTGCAATGAATATTCTCAAGTTTTTAATTTATGTAGCAAAGCTTTTTATATTTTATAGTTATTTTCAGTTATATGTAATTTTTTTTAAAGATTTTGTTTTTTGAAAGTCAGGTTGATAGACATAGAGTGAGAAACAGAGAGATCTTCCATCTGTTGGTTTACCCCTCAAAACATGGCTGTGCCAGGCAAAAGCTAGACACCATGAGCTCCATCTCGGTCTCCGACGTAGGTGGACTGCAGTCCTAATCATTAGCCTGTAGGCAGGGAGTTGAAGCAGAAGAGAAACAGGCATGCCACAGGCTAACATCCATGTGGGACACTGGTGGCATAGGTGGCAGTTCTGTCCACTGTGTCACACCGCCAGCCCCATATGGATGTGTTCTTGAATGTCTCTTTCTTTTTGTACTGTGTATGTGCTGTCCACTGCTTTGTCCATTGTCT